CAAATCTCCCCTTCCCCAACCAATTCACAGTCCCCGACGCACCATCCACTCCTCTCCTAGCCCCTTTCCCCTGCCCATGTCCCACCCCTATCACCCCGCTCCTCCCCCGCCCTCACTATTTCGTCTCCCATAATATTTACTTAGACTATATATTTTCCAATATATATTTATATATATTGCTAAGTAACCAAACACCAGAAAATAAGTAAGAAAATCACTTATTTTCCAAGAAAATATTTTTTCAGGAAAACATTTTACTTCATACCAAAAACACACCCTTATTGTATACATCTTGTACGTCAAATTCTCCCATCACACATCATATCAATAAAATTTAATCATCTTTATTAAAAAGAAAAACGAGTCATGAGAAATATTTTCTTTTCTTCATTATAACTAAGTATGGTTCTGAGAAACTCAATCAGCTAAGTTCATCTCTTTTGTTGCTCAGTTCTTCTCTCTTTATTCCTTTTGATTACTATGCTTCTGTTCAGCAAGTTGCATGGGTGTTTCAGTGTATAAGAAGCTATTTACGTGCTATAGTAATAATGCCGGAGTAAAGAAATCATCCTAAGTTAGTCCTTGGTGTTAATGTCCTTGCTCTTTTGAATGGCAAGTTGTGGCTGAATATTTTTTGCATAATTAAGTTCTGTATATATATATATATATATATATATATATATACACACATACATACATACATTTCAAAAGGCATCGATACCCCAAGGAAGGAAACAGACCAACCTCTTGGTTTATCATCTTTATATAAAAATTCTCATCTCTTTAGTACTTTTAACTATGATCATGTCCACCTGGAGGTGCCTTGTTTTAAAGACAATTAATAGATGAAAGCATGTGTTCTTTTTGCTGTTGTCGTTTTCTGCGAAGTTATTTTTACATGATTGAATACATAGCATGTGCCCCTTTCATATTTGTTGAGTACCATCACCTATTTTATCTGATGTCGATTTTATTGCATGAACTGCTGAAAACCCTCGAAAAATTTAGCTGTCCACAGTTGTTTTGACAATAATTTCTTGGGAATTGTTCAATTTAACTTTTAGACACTTCACTTCTTCCAATTCACTTTGTGGTTGTCATCAAGATTAATATCACAAAAGCTAAGACAGCTTTGGTACTCGCAGAAAACCATCCTACAGATTTATCCACTTGTGGTGCTCTGCAATCAATTGGATCAGATCTCACACGCACAAGAGGCAAATCTGATGCATACCAGAATGGCTCTGCCTTGAAGCGATCAAACGGTCTCAAAGAGAAGGAACCATGGAAACACACCAACAAGCAGACCTGAGGTTGGTTCACTCGTGAATTTGTCATTAATCTGAAAAGTTTGTTACTGATAATTCTGCAAGAATAATTCTTAACATACAGACATTTTGCAGCCCATAGCTTCTAGTGAGTTTTGTACCTGGAAATGAGAATGGAAAATCATATGGAAGCACCAACAAATGTAATGAGTTTGAGACAGTTAACTGTAGCAGGTCCAGTCAAGATAAGCGCAAGAGGAAAGCAAGCATGGTATGCATCAATTTCTCCAGAGGAACTTGGTTATATTTCACAATGCTGAAAATCAATCTTGTCACTTTTTTTGTGTCTACAGGTGGAAGAGCCTATTAATCAGTATGAGCGCCAAAAATCTCAAATTGCTTGAAGATTCGTGAACCTCTCTGGATACTCAACTAGTGGCATCTCTTGGTAGTTCCTTAGTAGTCTTCTTGTAATCCGAGCAGTTATGTATTGGTTTCGACTTGGAACTTTCGTTTGTTAACTAGCTGGTGGACATGATCCAGTATTCAACAAAAACTAATAGTACTTCTCTTTAGAAACTGAAATAATATGTTATGTTATGCAAACCCAAAGTTCAAGTTCACGGATGTGCTTCCCCTGACTTTCTATGTTGGTTTTGGATGTGAAGGTGCCAGTGAGTAAAGTAGATTATTATAATCTGCCGAAGATGTGAAAGTTAATATGTCAGCCTACAGTTTTCTTCACTATTGATCAGACTTCTATCTTTTTCTTCTTTTTTCTTTTTTCTTTTTTGAAATTCAATTTGCAAGTTTTTTTTTTTTGGTTCAACACTTCCAAATCTTTCACTTAATTTGAGAACAGTAGCAGCACTCATATAGAGTATAATTAGGTGAGGCCAACAGAAAATTTATTGTATGAACGTTATTAATCACGTCTATCAAAAGTATTCTAGCATTGCCAAACACTTCGTCTAATTGATATTAGACAATTTTGAAAAAGAAAATAGGAAAACGATTTGGGATACAAGATAGATGTTGGGAATGGAAGCTGAATTGTGCCAAGATCCTAAATACACTTTGAATACAAGCAATAGAAGCAGTCGCATTTAGACCAGGGAAGATTGGTATTCTCAATTTCTTAAAAGTTAGGGAGTAAATAATATATTTTACTGACCATTTACATGATAACACGTGTTTAGTTGTTTTCACTTTGTCACTTGAATCATTTATTTCTTAATCCAGTTTTCTTGCTAAATATTTTTGAGCGATATTACTCTGCTCCTTTTCCTGAGTTATCTTAATTCAGATACTATGGTTTGGCCAGCTATTAGCACTTCTACATGCGAACAAGTGTTGCACGTGTGATAGACTTTGTTGAAATAATACCAATTTTCCATTTCAGTGGGAATCAGTCACTACATTTTTCAATAATAATACTAATATGCGACTGCATGAGGAAAGCAACTCAAAAACAACAAACAACAAAACATCAATTGTCCAAATTCAACGTTCATTAGCAACGAAAAACTTGTTAAAATGACATGAAACTGAAAGAATTAAGTCGAAAATGCGTATAAACGCCAAGAGAAAACTATGGATTACTAGTAATTTGTGACTTCCTTTTCAGTTTCTCTGTTTTTTGAAATTGAAAGGTAGGTTGCGATTGAGAACAGAGGAAATTTGAAGCAACTAAGATTCTTTAGGGTGGTGCCTAATAAAAAAATTACTTGCACCAGTATTTACACCAAATCATATTAATTTACCATTAACTAATAGATTGAGGTGAAAATGTGTAATAACTAAATTATGGTTTAGTGAAAATGTGAAAGCAGAAGTATGTATTTACCTCAATCTATGAAAATATGTATTAACTAATTACAGTTTAGTGAAAATGAAAACACATGTTATGTATTCATCGGATTAGTGTAAACACCAATTGTAGGTAATCTTTCTATCAACGCGCAGTGTTGGTTTTCAGATCTATGTGATTTCGTGATGTAGAACTCGTGTAACATTGTGCTCCCAGCTGCTGCCTGAAAGGAAAGACCGACTCTAGAGAACAGGATGTTCCCGATGTAGACAATTTGGATCAGCTTCGGGATATGTCAAGTAAAAGATCACTAATTCAACCTTTAGTTTACAATTCTTTGGCATCATAGATCTGCTCTCTTCCACAGCCTAAGCTCTCTGGTACGTAGTAATATGTGAACGAATCATTAAAACCTGACTTTTAGACAGACGAACACTGAGACTTTAAAACTGCATCTAATTACACATGTATAATGAACAATAATGGCCATCACGATCACATCAAGAAGAAACATTACATACAAAACACAAGCACACGAGACATGGTGAAACGCATTTATACAAGATTTTGTTGCTGGACAGTTGAACCTTGGAGCAATCCATGTCGAATCTGCCCTGCAATGTCACTAACAGCTCCAGGTCCATGTGGGATAAAGACTGCTGAGGATTTAGACGTGGCACCAATTTCCTTCATGGTGTCAAAATATTGAGTGATGAGGACCATGTCCAAGACGTCCTTGGCACTCGTTCCTGGGACATTACTTGAGAAGCCGAGAACACTGTCCCTTAAACCATCCACAATGGCCTGGCGTTGTCTAGCAACCCCAAGCCCCGCCAGGTACTTAGCCTCAGCATCACCCTCAGCTCGTTTAATCTGGACAATTTTTTCAGCTTCTGCTTTCTCATTGGCAGCTACTCTCATTCTTGCAGCTGCCATAGTTTGATGTAAACCGACGATTAGCTTGAAGCTCAAAATATTACTACATCCGGCCTTAGATTATGGATAAAATAGAAATGAATTGCTTGACATAGTCCAATGTAGTCAACAAAACCTAGCTACAATAGTATTTATTCTCCTTTCGAGTGAGATCTTTTCTTGAAAACACCAAGAGGCCATTTTCTTTATACTTAAATATTTCGGAAATCGATCATCATACACTTTAGGCCCTTTTGAAAGCAAATAAAGGTGGGGAACATGAGTAGCGAAAGACTGAGCTTGATCATGTTCTCATGCTTCACATGAGAGTTATGAGCAAGCTTGAGATACACATAAGCTAAATGTTTGATTCTCCCAAAGAAAAGGAGACAGCCATGGTACAATTTGCACATCTAAGAGGCCAAATCCTTCCTCTACTCCATTATCCATATTCTTTTATCTGGGTTCATGTGTCCTCTGCTTAGTAATATTCCACCATAATAAGTATTTTAGTCAATCCCAAGTTATCTTTTTATCTTTCATGCTTTTTACATCCCGGTCCCTCCACAATTCTGAAATTGCTACTTAGGTTCACAGACCTGATCACACTTAATTTCATCAGTTATTTATAAATCACCAGAGAACTTTCACATATAATGAATTACTGCTATTAGATAAAGAGAAAGGATGTGTTACCTACATCAAACTAGCTTAAGGAAAAGGTTATATGATACCTGCATTGATTTCATTCATAGCTCGCTTGACATGTTCATCTGGCTCTATATCAACTATGAGTGTCTGAACAATCTCATATCCATAAGCAGACATTGCCTACATATCATCCAAAGGAAGATGAGTACAATGACCATCATTGCTTGTCATTTTGCTAATACTGTTTATGATGGGCATGATTTACCTTTTCAAGTTCATCCTCCACTGCCTTAGCAATTTGATTCTTCTGCTCAAAGACATCATCCAGATTTAGCTTTGGAACACTAGCTCTGATAACTGTACAGTGATGAGAGAGGCCATTATATGGAAGGAAATAATAAGTTCAAACAAGAGAACATCAAGTATTGTGCTCGTCAAAACTCAAATCACCAGCTCGTGCAATTGCAGCACACAGAACCTTTAGATATTACTATCGCTTTTTATTTTCCATTGTGAGAGAGAAAGATCTAAGAGATTCATATTTTCATACCATCAAACACATAGGCTTGAATCTGGGATCGAGTATTACTAAGCTTGTAAAAAGCATCAGTAGCTTTATCAGCCAGAGCACGATATTGAATTGAAGCAACAACAGTTACAAATACATTATCCTGCACAATAAATGAAGGATTTTAACCATTAAATCATGACAAAGGAAAAGGACATGCTGTAGATTACGGTCATTGCGCACAGTTGAGAGATAGTCCATATTAGATTACCATGATTTAATATGGTGGTTCACATGATGTCCTTTCACTTGATTGAAGCCAGAACCTAAATGTTTACAAAGGTGAACAAGGACAGACAGACGTGTGCTATAAAGTGTGAACTAGCAGTCTAGCAAGAACCATTTTAGATTCTACTACCATACCAATTATCTGCTCATAATCTATTGAAATCCAAGTTAACTGAAGTAGTTGCTTGTGCTCTTGAAGACTACTTGGCTCAGTAAACATGAAACACAAAAACAGAGAAGACGATACAAGGACAAGTGTTTTTTAGTGGTGGAACACCTCCACCTTCAACCATTGGGTTGGAGGGTTCGAGTCACCAAGAAAAACGTAGAAACCACTTTTTCCCCTGGGTAAGGGGAGGTAAAATAAGTTACAAAAAGCAACAGAAGAAGAAGAAGAAGGGAGATGATCAAGACAATACAAATTTATTAACATAACATCATCTTTGCATTAATAGTTCAACAATCTTTTACATTTTTGTTTTGATATGGTAATTCCCCACAACCATCTATACAGTGGCTCGTTCCAACTTTGCTCGCTTGGTGATTGAACTTCTAACCTCTTGGTTTGATAACCTTTTACTGATTCTTACTAGTTAAAAGTTAAACAAAAAGTCAAAACTTTGAAATTTTGAAAAGCCAAAGTATGTTATGTTATGGTAACATGAACTGATTATCTAAGAATTAAGGGAAAACTGCTATTTCAAGCCATATGCTAAGCGATTTAGGTGGCAGACTGGAGAACTTCCATTCCATGTTATGATAGTAATGAACTAATGAAAAAGTGAAAAAGTATCGTTGGAAAAACAATTGGCATTTAACAAAAAGCTAATACCTTTAACGGCAAAAACTTATCCACAATGAGTGTTTACACCAAATCATATTAATTTACCCACCTTTGACTTTGTCTCGCATCGCACATCAAGCTGCTGCAACCTTAAAGTAAGGTATCCAGCAATCTGGCTGCCTATACACCATGGCAAGAAATGACATCCAGGCTCAAGCACATCATTAAACTTGCCAAATCTCTCCTTTATAGCCACAGTGGATTGGTCCACTTGTACACAGCCAAGCAAATTCCCCATTGTCTTTCTCTATTTCCCAACAATTTCAAGAAGAGGAACAAAGAATTCAAGATTTCAAAACAAACAAACAAACCAAAAAGAAGAAGATAAAAGAGCAATCTTTTTTGTTTTTCAACAATTAATGAACAACCAAACATGTTATGCTACATACAAGCAGTCACATAAGTTCATATGGTATCTTGACCTATGTTACAGAATCAATAATCAAGTGCTTTACTTTTTTTCCTTTTAAAGAAAAAAATGCAATTGCAAAAGTTATGCTACATTAGGCATCAAACTTAATTGGGTATTTAATGTTAGTAATTTCTCAAGTATGGTTGAGAAATAGATAGAAGATTGAATTGCCCAGATTAGCAGGATGGAACATACCTTAGATTATATTTTTGCAGAGATCAATTCGTTCGCTGCAAACAGACACACGAGGTGGGTGTTTCGTTTGGGGTGGGGTTGAGGGGGTTAAATATGGCTCGATGTCCAGCAACCTCTGACCTCAGGAGATGGACTTTGGAAAGCGAAAATCTAATTTATATACACCACAATAAAAATTAACGAGTATTGCATTTGCATTATGATCAATGCGTTTACTTTTTCCTGCAGCTACTCTTCATGATTTTCTTAATTTTTTAAAATATATTTTATTTATGTACTTAGAAACATCGTAACATACTTTCCTGCCTCAAAACAAATAGTAATTCACTAAAATAAGTGGCTTTTTTTTTAGTGAGCACTTTTATAAGATAAAAGTTTGGCCAAACAGGAGAGGAATAAGATTATACAAAAATCATTGGTCAATTTCTTCTAAAATAAACATTAAGTACTATTTAAAGTTACATTAAAATATGCTATAACTCACAAGTTTATAGTAAAAAAACCTTAGTTTTTGGCCAATATTGTCCCTTATCTTTGAGGGTAGGTCTATTTTGGTTCCTCAAATATAGCCATGAGCATATTTAGTCCCTTAAGTATGCTAAAGTGGAGCACCTTTAGTCTCACTGACACAATGTGNCCGTTACAAGATGTAAATAGTTTCTGCCACCGGCTAAAAGTGATAGTACAACCTGATTATTCGTTTGCTTCAATAATATGCCTAGAAGTGATCTTCGCAGCTCTATTTTTTTCAAATTTTAACTTTTCTTTTTGAAAAAATCAACTAAAAGTTTTAAATGTATATATATATACAAAAACATACATAAATTTTATATATTTTTTCGGCTATTATTTTTACAGCGGCTATACAATATCATTTTCTCATTGAAAACTGGCACATAAGGGGATATTTTCAAGGTCAAAATTTTAGAAGACATTATCTAAAAATGAGGAATTAAAGTGATAATTTGCGTTATCCAATAAAAGGAGAGAAAACATTTTGCTTCAGAGCAGAAGATTTATTTCATGAATCAGAGTTGGGTAACACCATTAGTTTTTGAACATATTGTGTCGGTGAGACTAAAGGTGTTCCACTTTAGCATACTTAAGAGATTAAATATGCCCAGTGTTATATTTGAGGGACCAAAATAGACCTACCCTCAAAGATAAGGGACAAGTCAAAAACTCTAAAAAACCTTATAAAACCCATGATTAATAAAAATAATTCCAACAAAAAGACAAAGAAAGTTCTATATACCACAGTTTTGTATAGTTCAAAATATTTTCGAAAGAAAACCTTCGTTACAGAATTGTTTGCAATGACGTTTTGAGACGAGGGGAGTATAAAAATATTGAAATGTTCACAAGAGTCACAATGCAGATTGTATACAGTTGTACACATGTAGAATGCCAACCATAACCAATAATGCATTTGTTGTCATGGGCGGCTTTCCAGTCATGTACCATGACCCCTTGGACGCGCCCCATGACGTCCTGGTAAGCCTCCCAACGCCTAGCGCCATGGACGGCCTCGTGGTCTTGGTCGCGCCAAGTGACAAGCGCACACGTGCCTATGTCGCTCCATCAATAGCCCTCGCCAGCGCCCAGCCGCAGGCAGATACCAACAATGCCTCTCGGCAGGCTGTACCCCAGCGCACACTCGTTGTCAGCGCAATCAACCCATGCCTTGTACCAGCTCCGCGCGCGCAGACCATGATGCTAAAGGAAAAGTTGCCGCCAACTGACTTGTTTTTACTTTTTAGGAATCTAAGTCCTTTTTGTTGTAAATATAGAGTAGTTTTACTTCCTGTATTTCCATTATGATTCTCTAGCTTATTTATGTCAAGTCCTGTAACTTTGGTTTATTTTTTAAGCATTATTAGGGGGATCAAGTAGTCAAACTTTCAAGCAAGCAAATAATTCTCTGTATTGGTGTCTCTTCCCCTGGACATCGTTGTTACCTTTTTGTAATAGCTTTCATTAATACAATCAAGCTTTCTTTCATTCTCATTTTTTGTTCTCTCAATTGCTCTTGACATCGGTTTTTCCGTGTTGCACTAACAGTCACGTCCAGCATACAGAGGGGACCCCAATTGGCGGATAGTAACTGCACGGACATCGATTTCTTAGCCTTACGTCGCCCTTCTAAGACTCCTTAGGAATGCGCCGCGTAACAATTGGTATCAGAGCCTAGGCTCAACATCGGACGAGGGAACACATTATCATTGCCTCTATTTCTGACCATGGTGAATCACGGGGAAAACATTGTGGCCCTTGACGAGATGGTTAACGTATTACGATCCATCACGAGTACGGTGCCTGATCTAAGAACCAGCCTAGTGCAAAGGTTGGACGACCTGGACCGCAGGATGCGGCAGGGCGAAGGAGACATTGCAAACACCAGTCGCGACTCTAAAGGAGACCGGCAAACGGAAACAATAGAGGCAGCCAAAATTTTCAGTAAATTCTAGGGGATCCAATAAGAGCGGACCGAGGATTTAGCCTATAGGACACAAGAGGCAGACATGGTGACTGCCATGTAGCAAACCATAGACAACTTGATGGGCCAACTCAATATTGTCAACGTTGTGTTACAAGGCCAACTTCGAGGAGGCGGAAACTACATCGAGGGTGCTGTGAACCTAGCCCATGTGCCACAAAAGTTGAAGATTCCTGAACCAAAGCCCTACAATGGTGCTCGAAATGCCAAAGAAGTGGACAGCTTTATCTTTGACATCGAACAGTACTTCGATGTCGTACGAAGTTAGAAGAAGCAAAAAAGGTAGCAATTGCTGTCATGTATCTTCAGGGTGATGCTAAACTCTGGTGGCGGGTGAAGTACGACGCCATCAGGGCTGGTAAAGATACTATTGAGACATGAGGAGACCTAAATACAGCCATACACTTACAATTTTTTCCTAAAATTATTGAGTACAATACGCGGCGAAAGCTCCAGGAGCTCCGCCAGGCCAAGTCAATCCGAGATTACGTGCGAGAATTCTCCGCACTTATGTAGAACATACAGGACATGGGGTACAAAGACAAACTCTTCACATTCCTGGAAGATTTGAAACTTTATGCTCGTATGGAGATGCAAAGACAAAGGGTAGATGCTTTACCTAAGGCGATCCAAGCAGCGAAATACCTTGGGAACTACCAAGTGGAAGCTCGGAAGGATAGGCCTCAACCGCATGTCCAAGGAGGATACAAAGGGGGACAACCTAACAATGGTGGCCTAAGCAGAAGTGGAGGAGATCGGAGTGCAACCAAATCTAAGACTCCTTCCTCAGGTAGCAATAGTGTTGTGTCTCACAACAACGATCGGGGGAGAAAGCCCCCTTTAGGATGTCGTCATTGCGGCAGGCCAAATTGGAACAATGAATGACCACATGCACAAATGAATGTACCCAAACTTTTGATGATGGGACGGGTGACGATACATATGATGTTGATCAGACGGAACCAATAGATGGCTTTAACGCACTTGTTTGTTCTATTTCTGATGCCTTAGCGGGAACTAGTACCGGCATCTGTAAGAATAAAGACCCATGCCCAACCATCATGAAAAGGAAAACGAAGGCAGATAAGGAGCCTCGTCTTAACCAAGAGAAGACCCTAATGTTCGTCAAAATGAAAGTTAATGGCACGCCCATTCGGGCGATGATAGACACGAGCGCTAATCACAATTACTTAGCCTCAACTCAGGTAGAGCACTTTGGTCTAGTCGTAAGAAATGGCAGATATCATTTCAAGGCTATCACCTCACCGCCTCATTCAGTGGGTGGAATAGCCAAATGAGTGCCGGTGAAGCTGGGTCCTTATGAAGGAAAATTCAACTTGCGTGTAGTGATCATAGATGACTTCAAGTTGATAGTTGGATTAGAATTCATGAGGCAAACCAACACCATTCATGTACCTTATGCAGACATGCTACTGATGATGGGAGCAAACGAGGCCAGGCCCTATATTATCCCATGCACAACCATAATGATAGCCGCGGGGAACATCTCGGCCTTGCAGTTGAAGAAGGGAGTCAAAAAACATGAACTCACGTTCCTGGCTACCCTCTATATTGAAGATATTAAACGCTCTTCGGTTCTGCCCGTTAAGGAGTTGCTAAAGGAGTTTAAAAACGTCATGCCACAGGACATATGAAAGTAGCTCCCGCCTAAGAGAACTGTGGACCATGAGATTGAGTTGGTGTCGGGTGCAAAGCCACCCACCCGGGCACCTTACAGAATGTCACAACCTGAACTCACCGTGCTTCGGAGATAGTTGACAGAAATGCTGGACACGGGGATCATTGTGCCCTCCCAGTCCCCTTATGGGTCCCATGTGTTGTTCCAAAAGAAATATGATGGCGCCCTACGACTATATCTATATTATCGGGTCCTAAATAAAATTACCGTGAAGAAAAAGTACCTTATCCCGCTAATGGTAGACATGTTCGATAGACTGGGTGGTGCTACATCATTCACCAAAATAGATATATAGACAGGTTATTGGCAAGTCCGGATTGCTGATGGAGATGAACACAAGACGGCCTGTGTGACAACATATGGATCGTACGACTCCCTGCTCATGCCATTTGTCTTGACTAATGCTCCAACCATATTTTGCACCCTAATGAACCAAGTCTTCCGAGAGTACATTGACGAATTCGTAGTGGTCTACTTGGATGACATTGTGGTATATAGCAAAATATTGGAGGAACACCTAGAGCACCTGCGGAAGGTCCTAGCTCGGCTGCGGGAACACGAATTATATGTGAAGCTATCCAAGTGCTCCTTCGCCCAAAAATAGATCGACTTCCTCGGACATGTCATCTAAGAATGGTGGATCAAGATGGACCAACAGAAGATTCAGGCTGTCACGGATTAGCCGCTGCCCAAGGATATCCATGCCTTGAGGGCGTTCCTTGGCCTATGCAACTTTTATCGATGGTTTGTGAAAAAATACTCTCTCATTACAGTGCTGTTAACAGAACTCCTAAAGAAAGTCAAGCCTTGGGATTGGGGTCCCAAGCGAGCGGAGGCCTTCAATGCATTAAAAGCGGCTATGTTTAGTAGTCCCGTCTTGGCTCTTTTTTGATTTGGCCAAGCCATTCGAAGTACAAACGGATGCCTCTAACTATGCTCCG